GCCACAGGAAAATCTAATAATCAACTCTGTTGCCAGTGTGGCCAACTCACAATGTTAACAACTGTACATTTTATAATCCATTATTAGTTATTTAGCTCTAACTCAATTCTTATTGTCACATAGGTAGCTCCATGTACAATGAGACTGATGGAAAAGGCTGGTGTTACACTGCAAAATGCAATTCATCATGTGGTACTGAAATCCAATCCCGGCCATGTCACCTTACAACTCCACCAACTTCATCTATTCCCATAACGAGCTCTCGCACTCCAGTAATTCTAGAAGAAGACTGCTTCTTTCTCAATCCACCTAGAAAGGTATTTGAATTAAAATATGTTGGTGAAGAAAAAATCCACTGCTGTCTTTACTAAGTTATTTAGGCTGAAATATGAAACAAGGTCAAATTTATAATTTTATGCAATGTAACGGCTTTGCTAGCAATTCCACTGTGGTTGCATTTCTCGGTGCTACTGAAAGTTCTTACTGAAAGTTTACAGCAAAATAATTTTTTAAACAGCCTCTGCAACATTTGTGGACATACAGATAAGTGTTAAATTTAATACATTTGACGTGATTTATAGTGTGTATCAGTGTGTATGCCTCTTTTAGGCTAAAATATAATGTAACTCATGTGTAATTCATTGCTAAAAGCACTGTTTTGCTCTCATCAGAATGGTGAAACCTGGCATTCAAACAACTGCACCACAGAAAGATGTCAAAATGGTCAACACATTACAACACATGTGCAATGTAATGTAAAAAATATTGTTTGTGAGAATAAGCAAACACCAGTTAAAGTTTATGATGGAAATGGCTGTTGTTTCCACTATGAATGCAAATGTAAGTTTCAATAAAACCCTTTTAAAATTCCACATATTAAAGCTGCTAAACATGTAAGTAAATTACAAAATTATTTTTTGTTTTGATGCAATCTCAATCTAATATTTGCAGGTGTTTGTGGTGGCTGGGGAGATCCTCATTATGTGACATTTGATGGACAATATTACAGCTTCCAAAAAAATTGCACTTATGTCCTGGTTAAAGAGATCACACCTCGACACAATTTTAAAGTTTATATTGATAATGTAAACTGTAATCCCACTGGAACTGTGACGTGTCCTAAATCCCTTATTGTGTATTACAAAAACTATACAGTTATTCTCACACAGGAGAGAGGAGCAAAGACTGTGAACAAGGTGGGTATCACTTAGACAAAGTGTCTTAAAAGTACTGACATTATAATATATTTAAATATTATGCAGCACCATTGAGATATTTCACTAATAGTAATTAATGGTAAAATTCCTTAGGTATATGTCAACGGCAGTCCTGTCACTACTATGTTTACAAATAATGACATGACCATCACAAATCAAGGAATTGAGATGCGATTAACAATCCCAGAAATTGAAGCAGTTGTGATGTTCAAAGGTCTTTTATTCAGCGTAGATGTACCAATGACTCTTTTCTATGGCAACACAGAAGGACAGTGTGGTAAGCTAATAGTTGAATGTCTTAAAGTATTTTAT